TGCCACTGGTCTGCAACTCCCCAGTCCAATCGGTTATCCCTGTTTCTTTGTCATTGCTAGAAAGGGTAAACACGGTTAGAAGTATTCCATCACAAAAGAGAGATAAATGTGTGATCAGAAATAACAGATTCCGCCCAGGTAATGTATTGCAGCAGCATCTGTACTACGCTTTACACTTTTATCTGATCTTATCTCTTATCTGATCATCCATATATAATATATAATCCAAGAGTACCATACCATTTACCAATATCTACGTCGATTATATAAGATGTATGCTAAAGCACATTCAGGAGCCTTTATATTCAAAAGCGAGTAATACAATTGTGTCATGAAATTGATATGAAACAAAAGGATCATCAAATATAGTTTTAACAAAATTAGAGGGTGTAAATTATATCGAAAAGAAGAAGCAACAAGTCCAATATTTATATAAAAATCCGTGTGTTGCCAAGAGAAAGGGAATAAATATCTCATGAATTTGTTTTTATTTATTTATTTTTAAAATTAACGGTTTTTAACTTTTTAAACTTTTTTATATGTAAATAAATTTTGACAATTATGTTAGTTATAGAATTTGTTTGTTTTTTAATGACGAAGGCTGTGAAATGTTCACAGTTCTGATAATGAGGAAATCAGAAAGAATGTTTAAAACTAGTGATGATGTTTATGTCATTATTCTTAATCTAATCTAATCTAATCTAATCATCGAAGTGGAACATTGAATATCCACTTCTATGTCCAATACTCCTTTTAACTACAGGTGGACTGGGAAGAGAATCAAATATCCTTTTCAAGAAGCTAGCTGATAAACTTTATAGGCAGTAACTTTTTTATAGAGCGAAATTCGACCTCATGAGATCACAGCCATTGCTCTTAGCGGAGAAAAAGGGTTTTTTAAAAATAGTTATGTGGCCAAGATAGCATATATTTCGATAATAACCATTGCTGAAATTATTTATGTATATCGTTCTTACAATTCACTCAACTAACGACTCTTACTAACCTCCTTAAACACTAAACCCGATTCTCGCTATAAACTAACTACTCACTAAAACTACTACACTAAAATATCACTAAATAATCCCAAACTGAATGTCTTTACTTCCTAAAATATAATACTAAATAAAACTATGTTTAAACACTTCCTTCTTCTTCTAGGTTACTCTCTTCTATTGTTGTGATGCTTACACTCCTTATAGCCGTCTCCTATTTCTTCTCTTCAATACATTTCCACTACAATAATAAAAATACCTAATCAAATCAAAATCAAATCAAAATATATTGACACAAATAAAACATCATCACACATTATCAAAAATATATCTACTAAAGTTTTAAAATTATCTAAAATCTATTGGCCTAAACAACCAAGTTAAAATGAATCTAATTTACATACTTTCCACTACTATATAAGTTGATAAAGCGTTTTTTAGGAACATGAGGATTACACATAAGATATTCGTTGTGCTTCTCTTTATTAGTAGCATAATTTAATCCCTCAATCTTTCCTAATACTTCGTCCGAAACATACCAAAAATGACTATCATTTACAGATCCGTTTAACATAGTCTCTTAATTGAAAGCCTCTAATCTTATTTTAAAACTTAACACTGTCCCATAATTCTTGACATCCGAGGGGAGTTTGTTCCAATATGGTCTCACCCTCTCCGGAAGAAAAGAACTATGGACTTTCTTCATTTTACTGCTACTTTCACTGCATCTACTGTTTGATTCCACATTAAGACCAGATCTGCTCATACTGAACAAACCAGCACCTATGATTCATAAGAAATACAATTAATATGAATCATCTGTAACATAAAAAATAAATAAACCTACAACCATCATGAAACTATAAGTAAAATACAATTTTTACACTTCACAGGCTAGCACACCTTCTACTAGCCACTACAGTTAGTACACCTTCCTACTAGACTCCGAGACACCTACTCCCGGGAAGTTCCTCTCCCGCTGGATCTCAGTCCTAGTCTCTCTTCATCACTTCTTCTCTCTTTACATATTAAGAAACTGTTTACACCATTAAAATATTCAAAACCCCTGGAACTCTTTACATATGCTATAATATATATTATATGACAATCCTTCAACAACATGACAATCATATAATCTCATAACACACATATTATAGTTGATGAGCAGTTGATGAGTACAAGGTCATGTGATTATGACATCACCTGAGCTGCAGATTGTTTTTATAATTTATAATTTAATTTTGCTTGAATTTTAGGCAAAATTTTCAGTGGTATACTCATTTGATGTCCATGTGTAAGCTTTAAAGTGTAAATGGGAAGATGGGGATAAATGGGAAATGGGATCTCTGTATTTTTGTCTCTCGGGCAGTTGTTGAGTGCACTGGGTAACAAACAACTATTTAGGTGCAAAATGAGTCGGTATGAAGAGCGTGGTGATTATGGTGGCGGCAGATATGAGCGTCGGGATGATAGGTCATCTAGGGGTGCACCTCAGCGAAGAGCTGGAGATTGGGACTGTGATGACTGTGGATTCCATAATTATTCCAGTAGGAGTGAGTGTTTCAAGTGCAGAGTACCCAAGAGCGGCGGAGGTGGTGGAGGTGGAGGAGGTGGTAGAAGATCCCACTCTAGATCTCCTCCTCGCAGAGATAGAAGTGATAGATCCCCTCCTCGTAGTTATGGTGGCGGTGGTGGCGGCGGTTATGGTGGCGGCTATGGTGGACGTGGTGGTGGAGGCAACAACGATTACGGTGACAACTGGGATTGTCCCTCATGTAACTTCAGCAACTTTGCTAAAAGGTATGAGTGTATGAAGTGCAGAACCCCTAAAAGTGGAGGATCAGGAGGGAGATCAGGAGGTGATGACCGTCGTGGGGGTGGACCTCAACGAAGAGAAGGAGATTGGGATTGTGAGAAGTGTAGTTTTACTGGTAACTTTGCCAGCCGAGATTCCTGTTACAAGTGTGATGCTCCTAAATAGATCTGTCCCTCAGCCTAAATGTTAATGTCAGACCATTCATTTATGTGCATATCTTGATTTGAATTAAGTTATTCTGATTTAATTCACCTACAATTAAATCTAGTATCTGAGAGTAAATATGCACTTATAATATCAAAGCTCCCCATTTGCCTTATTTTGAATCACGGAAGAGTCCTCTTCAGCTTCAGTAACCATTTTGAAATAAAAGGAATATTCTTCCAAAATTTTTTATTGATAGTCACATTAGACTACACACACTTTACTTTAAAATGGATTTTTTAATGAATTACAATATTTTATTACTGTTATTATCTATCTAATTAGTAATCTTGCCTGGATTGCAAGCATTCTCCTATTTTCTTGCATTTGACATGCACAAGATTGCTATTGGTCGTTTTATTTATGAAAATCATATTGACTTGAATTCTACATCTTATCGTATAATTGGGTTTTCTTGGACTAACGGATGCTTGAGTTGTTGAATGATGGAAATATGAGCCTAACAGCAAGTAAATGTTTGTTTCTGTTGGTTCAAAATGAAAAATATGTACAGTTATTTACATCTACAGAAAATGGTGTGTATGGGAATGAACTGGAAGTGAAAGTTGGAATTGTGTTGGTTTCAACGTGAACAGGTGTTGTGTTAATATGTTTGTTACTTAGCCGATTGTACAGGATAACAAACAACTATTTAGGTGCAAAATGAGTCGGTATGAAGAGCGTGGTGATTATGGTGGCGGCAGATATGAGCGTCGGGATGATAGGTCATCTAGGGGTGCACCTCAGCGAAGAGCTGGAGATTGGGACTGTGATGACTGTGGATTCCATAATTATTCCAGTAGGAGTGAGTGTTTCAAATGCAGAGTCCCCAAGAGCAGTGGAGGAAGTGGAGGTGGTGGAGGTGGCAGAAGGTCCCACTCCAGATCCCCACCTCGCAGAGACAGACGTGACAGATCCCCTCCTCGGAGTTATGGTGGACGCAGTGGTGGTGGTGGTGGTGGTGGTGGTTACAACAATAATGATTACGGTGACAACTGGGACTGTCCCAAATGTTATTTCAGCAACTTTGCTAAACGGCATGAGTGTATGAAGTGCAGGACTTCTAAAAGTGGAGGATCTGGAGGAGGAAGATCAGGAGGTGACGACCGCCGTGGGGGTGGACCTGAACGAAGAGAAGGAGATTGGAATTGCAAGGAATGTGATTTTAGTAACTTTGCCAGCCGAGATGCTTGTTACAAGTGTAGTGCTCCTAAATAGAGCTCTCCTTTGTTAACTTTAGACCAAGAATTGATTTGCACACCCTGACTTGAATTAAGTTATTATGATTTGATTCACCCCTAATATGCTTATCAAATATTTGGCCTTATTTTGGATCACGGAGGAGTCCTGTTAGCCTCAGTAGTTGTTTGAATGAAACATTCATCCAGTGTTTTTATTGTTAGTTTTGTTGGAGTATACACTATACTGTAAAAAAATTAATTTTTTACAATTTACGATATTTCATTACAATTATTATCCACATTATTGGTGAATTCTCCTCTGGATTGCTAAATAAATTAAGATTTCGAATCTAGGCTTATTGGGGTGAATGTTTGTGCTGCATACTGACGAGTAGGTTCAATCAATCAAATTCAATTTGGGTTCCATTTCAAAGTTTATGGTTCCATGGTTAGAAATACAGCTGAATTGAATTCTACATTTTATCATTAATTGGGTTGTAATGACAACATATGGTATGGATGTATCTTTTTCTAAAGAAGTGAGAGCGTAAAAGCAGGCAATTGTCCAATTTTGTAGGTTTAAAGAGAAATCTAGTGTAGGTGTGATTATAAAATGGGTGTTGTCTGCAAATGATCCTATTAAAATGTGAGTGGGTAATCTTGGGTAATCTTGAGTTATTTTGGTATCTGTGTTTAGTTACCACTGTGTCTAGTTATTTCAACCTAGGCAGGTAAAAATGGTGGTGATATGTTTGAAGTTATTGTGTAGTGTCTGAGTGCACTGTTTAACGAACAATTATTTAGGTACCAAAATGAGTGGTCGGTATGAAGAGCGTGGTGATTACGGTGGCGGCAGATACGAACGTCGCGATGACAGGGGTTCGTCCAGGGGTGGATCACAGAGTGAGCACAGAGCCGGAGATTGGGACTGCGATGACTGCGGATTCCACAACTATTCCAGCAGAAGTGAGTGTTTCAAGTGCAGAGTACCCAAGAGCGGTGGAGGTGGAGGTGGAGGAGGTGGTAGAAGATCCCACTCTAGATCTCCTCCTCGCAGACATGCTGGGGGCAGATCCCCTCCTCGTAGTTATGGTGGCGGTGGTGGCGGTGGTGGCGGCTATGGTGGCGGCGGATATGGTGGCGGATATGGTGGACGTGGTGGTGGAGGCAACAACGATTACGGTGACAACTGGGATTGTCCCTCATGTAACTTCAGCAACTTTGCTAAAAGGTACGAGTGTATGAAGTGCAGAACCCCTAAAAGTGGAGGATCAGGAGGGAGATCAGGAGGTGGCTATGACCGTCGTGGGGGTGGACCTCAACGAAGAGAAGGAGATTGGGATTGTGAGAAGTGTAGTTTTACTGGTAACTTTGCCAGCCGAGATTCCTGTTACAAGTGTGATGCTCCTAAATAGAGTCCCTCTCCAGTTCAAGTGTTAATGTCAGACCATGCATTTTATGCCTTCTATTTATTATGTTTGAAAGATTGTTTTTAATACAATAATTTTTACAATTTTACCCAATCGAATTTTCTTTGTGTCTCTTTCTTCGTGCCAAGCGGGATGCCTGTAACTAGTATACAACACACAAAATACATCCTCTTTAATAGAACTATATTCGCTCTAAATGTTGTGCCCTTGATGAGAACAAGTGGATTAGTGGACACTTTGTTGGTTTATCTTGGTATTTATGAGTTCGTTTCAACAGAATATGACTGGTACTGTGTTGGTAATATGTGTAACAAACAATTATTAAGGTTCAAAATGAGTGGTCGATATGAAGAACGTGATTATGGAGACAGCAACAGGTATGATCGGAGAACAGACAGGTCAATGAGGGGTGGACCTCAGCGAAGAGCTGGAGATTGGGACTGTGATGACTGTGGGTTCCACAACTATTCCAGCAGAAGTGAGTGTTTCAAATGCAAAGTCCCCAAGGGTGATAAAGGAGGTGTAGATAGATCAAGAAGGTTCCACTCCAGATCCCCACCTCGCAGAGACAGACGTGACAGATCCCCTCCTCGGAGTTATGGTGGACGCAGTGGTGGTGGTGGTGGTGGTTACAACAATAATGATTACGGTGACAACTGGGACTGTCCCAAATGTAATTTCAGCAACTTCGCCAAACGGCATGAGTGTATGAAGTGCAGGACCTCTAAAAGTGGGGAATCAGGAGGGAGATCAGGAGGTGATGACCGTCGTGGGGGTGGACCTGAACGAAGAGAAGGAGATTGGAATTGCAAGGAATGTGATTTTAGTAACTTTGCCAGCCGAGATGCTTGTTACAAGTGTAGTGCTCCTAAATAGAGCAGTTCTTCAATGTTAAAATCAGCAGTTCTCCAATGTTAAAATCAGACCATGAATTTTATTTCCTCTATTTATTGTTGTTTGATAGATATTTTTTATAATTTAATTTTCCCCCATTTTAATCAATCGATTTTTATTGGTGCCACTTTAGGGCAGGTTATAATTTATCGCCAACTCTTTAGTGAAAATAACAGTGTTTGAATTTAGACTATTCATTATGGGCGGAAAATTGTGTTTCATGCTCTAGCACATTGCACATAATTTTGGCCAATAACTATTGATATGAGCCAATTCAATAAGTAACATTTCTATTATCGTGATTCGATAGTTGAAACTCGGTGACTGGGGTCTAGAAGTTGTGTAGTGGGCTTCAATAGATCAGTGTGACAAATGCAAAGAGCTAGTATGAAAAATGATTTTCGGATCGGATCATTCTCCAAACTTAATCTATGTTAAAATGGGAAATATTGTAACTTGATAAAGTAGGTAGTAAGTAATAGTGATATTCTTACCCTTGGTAATTTCCTACTTTATCGAACAATTCAAGAAGTGTTTACTGTACTCCCTTTATTTTAGAGAAATGTATATATGATTGACTATTGGTAACACACTGAGGACTTGAGGAATGAGAACATCTTACATTGCATCATCCACACCTCGAGCATCGTAAGTATTCACTGCATGATATTTTATAATGTATTTAGTTTTGTTGAAGGATTTTTACATGTTTGTAACCTAATGCTGGTAAATTAATGGATGAAATATATTGTGGTTGTTGCATGAGTCGTATAAAAATGTCCTATTTTATTAATCTCTGGCTTTATAAGAGTTGGCTGTTATAACAAAATCTATGCAGCATGCACTTTTATTAACTGCGCATATTAATTAGTTTCATTAATGCAATTTATAAAATGTAATTAATGAAATACAAATAATAAATGAACTCAATTTTCAGACCACACAGATACTACACTCGTAACAACCAGAACCCTATCTCACCCACTGCCTCTGACAACCAGCAACCACTCAGAGAAGGCACACCACCCACCTTCCTCGACCAGAAACGAAACATTTTCAATTACAGATCAGGTGAACTTTTCAGTAAATTATCCTTGATTAGTATTTTAATTACCTCTCCTAGTTTTGAAATTATAGTTAGTTTTAACCAGACAACTTTCAACTGGACTGACTTTACTACTTGTGATGTGACTTTTGACTACTTTGACCTTAGATACAATACATTGGACAGAGCTCAGAGCAAGATTTTATTATTGTAGATTAAGGCTTATGAGAGACAGACTAACGAACAATTACAGGATTCAGCGATTATCAAAAGAGATGTCACACTACACAACAGTAAGACAAAAAGTTGGTTCCAGAGCAGGATTGTCCGTAGCAAGAAGAAGTTCAGCTGTTACTGAATCCGTGTCAAAGACTACAATAATCAACTCAGCATACAAACAAAGTGTAGAATCAAGTCATAGCACAACCCGTAACGTTAAGATTGTTGGGTCAACCCAGGTAGAGGCAACATCAACAGAGGATTTCAAAAATATTGAAACAAATACCACATCCACTAGTGAAAAATCAACTGCAAATCTTGAGGATAAAGAATCAATAGTTATTGGAGCTAACAACTTGAATAAAGAGGGTGCTTATAGTGTCAGTTCCACGGAATCAGGTCTGGATAATGAGGCTGTTAAATCTCCTCCTGTCTCTAGTTCAGCTGAAAACACTCTGGAGATAAACAAAGCAGTTATAACATCTGGTGAACATCATACGGCAGAAGCTGGAATTTCTAACGTCAAAGTCACCAGTGAGGTCAAGAAATACAGCTCCAAGAAAAACACAAACGGAAACAAAGCTCCGAAAATACGTAGAGGTAAAAAGAGGATTCCAGTCATTATGGAGGACGGGACTGCTACAAAGATTTTGAAAGATATACCTGTAAGAAGTGAACAACAAGCAGTAAAGTGTACTTCATCACTTGTAGAAACTGAGGAAGAAGCAGGTAGCAGTAGACAAGGCAGTTATGTTGAAGATTCAGAAACTGCTACATTGGAAAAGACAAATGAATCCACAAGTTTCAGTCTAGTGAATTCAGTGTTGTCTTACTTCACCAAAAGTAAAACACCAGAGTTGTCAGAAAGTTTTCGGTATAATTTGCGTAGTCGTAATGTCAGCGATAATGCAAGTAATAGCCAAGAAAACATTGTTAGTGGTACAACAAATGTTGAAGATATTCAGATGAACTTATCAACCTCAACTTCAAAGGTTGGTAAAATAAATGAATCGTCTGATAGGGTTATTGAGGTTTCAACAAATTGCAACAATCCTACAATCGAAATAATAAAAAGTAAACTTCCCGTCGATAGAATCATTCACAATAACGAGGAGAAAGACACAAAAACATCGAAAGGAAGAATCAAAAGAAAAAATGCTGCTGTCAAGACAGAACTTCCACGAAGAGCTGTGCGTCAGAGAAGACAGAAATCTATAGCAGAACAAGATGTCAACAGAGTGGGTAAAGCAATTAAAGAACTCGAAACAAGAAGTAAACTTGTACCAGCTCTGGTTGAAAGTTCCATTTCAAACAGTGACCTGAGGAGTGATGGGAAGCAGAGCGAAACAATAAAACGGAGAATTGAAAATACAAAAGTTGAAAATATGGAGATCGAACGTAAAGATGAAGACATTACAACGGTCACTACGAAGAAGATGGCTCCAAAAAGGAAAAATGCTATTCGACCAGAAGATTTGAAACCAGCAAAGAGAGCCGCTACTCAATCCACAGATAATGGAAAAGATGGAAAAGAAACATCATCCTACTTTGGTAGTTGGAGTATCATTTCTCGTTTTACGGACAAAGGAGGATCGGAACCTTCAGAAAATAACGCATCCCAGAGTTTTAGTTTTGTAGATTCAGTGATGTCTTATTTTACAAAAAGCAAGACAGAAGAATTACTCGACTCCGACAACATCAGATATAATCTACGTAATAGGCGTATCAGTGGGTCTCCTATCCCAGCAAGTGTCCATTATTCATATAACTCCGAGGCAAAACACTGGTCTCCTAGAAGAAAAAGAAAATCGAGATCAGGAAGTGGGAGATCGTCACCAATTGTCAAGAGAAGGAAAACGAAGAAGAGATCTTCCGAAACACTGAGCGCTGGCAGCAAAATATGGGCACGATATGATCTGCAAGACTTAACTGAGGATGAGTTGGTAGCTCTAGCTCAAAGTTCTGACGGAGAAAAGCCTGGCCCATCAGGACTTGTTCTACCAACAACACCTAAACGTGTACCGCCTCCCATACCTAGAGACATTCTCACCACACCAACTCGAAAACCAAGAAAGAAACGGGTAAGCTTTTCAGGAACAGTGGAAACTTGTGATGGGCCACCGCACAAACAGTTTCATTATAATAAGCAGCCTCCTGTTGTTGATGCGACCCGTGCTATACATAGTCAAGATTCTACGACACTAAGATCAAGACGGCCCAAACAAACAGGACAAACAACTGACAGACAAATATTGCTGACTAATACATTACAGACCGGCTATGATGGTAATCAATTTATTAAATGATGCGTTTTACCTGTTAGTTGTACTAAATCGAAGTCATCTTGTTTCATAGCTTTACAAATTAGCTACTTTGTGTATACAGCAATGACTTAACTCTGTTTTCTAGGAGATTCAGAATCATCTGAGGATGAACTTGATGTCCAAACGGGACAGGGTCCAAAGCTGCAGCCCACATCTCGGTTACAATCAGCTGCCAACTTACTCCGCAACATATTCATGTGGATAGGCCTTTCTTTTCTCACCCTGAACGTCTACATTTTATCACAGTAAGTTGTTAGGCTATTAACTCATATCAATTTATTGTACTTCTGTACTGCTGAATCGAGATTATATATCATTTTAAAGATCTAACTACATTCCGTATGTTCTTATAAGGGATAACCACCGTCCAGCCTGAGGACGCTGTGTCCCACATATTGTGCCCATACCTCTCGTACCCCATACCTCTCGTACCCCTATTTAGGAGGCATCATGTAGCCGGTGGGCCCGACATGATACGACACACCTCGACACGTCGGGGTTTTGTCGGGGTTTTGTTGGGGTTTGTCGGGGTTTGTCGGGGTTTGTCGGGGTGCGTCAGGGTGCGTCGGGGTTTGTCGGGGTTTGTCGGGGTTTGTCGGGGTTTGTCAGGGTTTGTCAGGGTTTATCGGGATTCGTTAATAATGGATGAAAAGTGATTGGAAGTTGCCTAAAGAAGATTGATCAATGGCAGTATAATGGCGCAGGAGGGTCAACCTGAAAAAAACAGTGCTTGACCCTCCTGCCCCACACATGGATCAGGAGGCTCATTTCAGAAAAAGAGTGCTTGACCCTCCTGCCCCGCACATGGATTACAGGGGTCATTTGAAGCCACAAGACCATGTGCACGTATCACTACAGCGCGCGATAAGTACGCGCGTGATTACATAAAATCTTACCGCGCCCTACGCCAAGTAGACGAAAAAGCGTGGACAAAGAGCGAGAGTTGGTACAATGTGGCACACGAGTCACGTCAGGCAGTAGTTGATAAAGTTTTTAAAGTTATTTTTAAAATATTGAATTATTTAGTACATTGAATTATGTAGTAGTGTCAAATTACCTGGGAACTGTTTGATACTTTGATGCTGAAATATTGTTATTTTATTTCTAAAAACATCAAGTTCTTGTTTTGGGAACTAAGATTTCTCTCGAATTGATCTTTTTTGGACATTGGAAGTTGCCTAAAGAAGATTGATCAATGGCAGTATAATGGCGCAGGAGGGTCAACCTGAAAAAAACAGTGCTTGACCCTCCTGCCCCACACATGGATCAGGAGGCTCATTTCAGAAAAAGAGTGCTTGACCCTCCTGCCCCGCACATGGATTACAGGGGTCATTTGAAGCCACAAGACCATGTGCACGTATCACTACAGCGCGCGATAAGTACGCGCGTGATTACATAAAATCTTACCGCGCCCTACGCCAAGTAGACGAAAAAGCGTGGACGAAGAGCGAGAGTTGGTACAATGTGGCACACGAGTCACGTCAGGCAGTAGTTGATAAAGTTTTTAAAGTTATTTTTAAAATATTGAATTATTTAGTACATTGAATTATGTAGTAGTGTCAAATTACCTGGGAACTGTTTGATACTTTGATGCTGAAATATTGTTATTTTATTTCTAAAAACATCAAGTTCTTGTTTTGGGAACTAAGATTTCTCTCGAATTGATCTTTTTTGGACATTGATTCATTGTACTTTAGAAGGCATTGTGATTGATTTGGAGAGTTTTGTAAGGTTTCATAATTTTTATGTAAGTTTTGTTTTGAAATTTTTTGATCGATAGATCCCAAAAGTTCCAAACTTGTCTTAACTGTCCAATCTCCACTCCTTCCCGCCCTTTACTCCTTTACCGTGCTCTCTGATTACGACGATCAACGGTGCTTAGTGAATGTTCACTTCGGGAGATTTGATCGTTTTATGTCCAGTGCGTTGTTAGCTTTTAAACTCCTCTAATTATATAAATTATTTTTCTACTAACAAAATAATTCAGACATGATAGCAGCGCTAGAATCAGAGGAATCTGCATCAGGGTCAGAGCATGTTGTGTCTGTCGTGTCTAACAGTATTGACTTCAGTGACGCTCACACAGGCAATACCTTCAAATCACTAGATGAGCAGCCTGATCAGAAGGTTTACAGAATTAAGACTGAAGACAGCCTGGCCTCTCCCTTCCGTATAAGCAAGGCTCATTTAGGAGAGTTTTGCACTAAAATCAGAAAAATCTACAAGCTAAAGGAGAGTGATGAGTTCACTGTAGAGTTCAACTTAAAAGATGAACAAGGTCTGCCTGTCCCCACGGAAATACATGATTGTGGGAATGAATCTGATGTCACCCTAGAGGGAGTTGAGCTGCTTTACTGCCAGCTTAAAGCAGGCTCTAGTCTCCTCGTTAAAGTTGTACGTGTTTCTAAGGTAAAGAGAAAATCCCGCCGTGTAGAAAGTTTAATGAGAAAATGGAAAACGAATATTGTATGGCATCCTAGGTGTAATGAGGAACTCAATGGGGAACACTTAGTTTTAGTAAGCTTCTTACAAGCCTCGCTGCAGATCATGGGTGCCCTTAAAGCTTTTACTCATATGTTAGTATAGATTATTGAAGTTAAGTAATTTGAATACTAACTAGCCTAACACAACCTTGTCCCAGCAATGCCCAAATATCGTGAAAGATGCACACATTGGGAGTGTGGACGTTGCCGCTTTGAGAACAAAGGCCACCTCAGAAGCACATGTTCAAGTTGTGGTGCCCCAAAGTCTGAGGGGACCTCAATCCAAGTATATGGAGACGAGTGGAGGTGCAAGTCTTGTGCCTATCCCAACTTCTCCTACAGGAAGAATTGTAATAAGTGTGGGAGAAAGGAAGAGACAGAAGAAGAGAAGAAGGCGAGAGAGGATGAATGGGATAGGAGGGTGAAAGAGGCTGAGGAGGAAGCAGTAAAGACCAGGATAGAAGATGCTGAGCAGCTCATAGATGACGATGAGAGGGCTCTTGAGCTTGGGTGGCCTGTGGACTTGAGAAAAAGCGGTCATTATAGTGACGAAATGCTAATGCTGATCATGGACGAGACAGCGGAGGATAGGGAGAAGCAGAGGGAGAGGCGTAGGAAGAAGAAGGAGCTTGAGGGAGACGCTATTCAGAAGGAGATTGAAGGTGAAACTGAAAAAGAGATGGATAAGGAGGGCGATGATAAGTCGCAAGGAGAGAATGAAAAACATTGAGTACGTAATGAGCGGATCTATGTTAATATACTGGCCAGTACATTACCAATTATCATATTTTGATATCATTATAATTGTGATGCAATATAATAGATATTACATTGTTTTTTATTATTTTAACAATAACAAAAGGCTACACGTTAAATCTTCTTACATTGGGTTGCAGTTTTTAGAGTTCGACACATGTAGAAAATTATCAATGATAATTAAGAATATTTGTTTAAATTTTACAAATTGCATGATATTTTGGCCTTTGGGATACGTGTACTTCTAAGTTGTATAATGCCTTGTAAAGTACATTTTAAAAGTTACTTAGTATTAGTAATACTTTTGAAACTTTCAACAACTTTTATACGTATGTATGTATGTTTTTAAAAATACATGATACAAATTTTATTGTTTTTATTCAGCATCGCTTGTTTCATTGAATTGGATTTAGGCAAGTATTGGTAAGGAAGTGAACCGATGCGGCGTAGCAAAGCCTGACGCAACACTCCTTTCTTTTCATCCTGTGGCTCTTACTGTCTCCCACTCTTGCTCTTTTGGTCTCTTGCGCTGCGCTCTTGCTTTCTCACACTCTTGCAGTCCCGTCCGGTATCGTACTCTTCTCTCGTGCTCATAGCTTCATAGTGCGTATTAGATTATTATTATACTGAGTGCACAGTTTTAACAAGAATTGCGCCCGTTGTTTCGTTTTGGCGGACGCTAGATTTCCATTCACTATAACTATAAATATAAGCTCTAATCAGCTCACTTCATAATAATAATATACACAGAGTACATTATTACACAGAGTACATTATACTACGCATGCCATGTACAAATTGGGCTTATTACCTAATACTGTACATAACATAGCATACATTAAAATACACTCGCGCCGCGCATTCATTGACATGCTAGCTATATATACAGGGTGGCCCATAAGTGACTACCCACACGCAACCTCTTAATAACTCACGTAATTCGTCTCCAAATTGCACCAAAATTTTAGAGATTATAGATATGGGTCAAACTTAGATTTCCTGAAAGTTTCGTAAGCCACGCCCAATTACAGTGGGCGTGGCGTGACACTCCCTCTTTTTCACTATTGTCTTCATAAAATGAGAACGCTTTAAGCTAAGAACTCAAAATTTTTTGCACACATTTGACTTGATAATTGAAAACTTTTCCAAAAGTTTCAAGTTCATTGGTTAAAATATGGCTGAGTTATGACCATTTTAAAATCCATCGGATATGTGATCCGAGCACTCAGTCAGTGATATTTTCACTCAATTAGTGATCTCGTCACCCAATCTGATCAAGAGTAAGGCGTTAGCGTGTATTAATGAGGTTCATTAGGCTTTGATTGGATACCGATGATGACTTTGCTAGAAAGGGAAACACAAATTTTTAGGATAAAAACCAGATCGTGACCTTTTCAGGAAAAGCCGTTCTCTCCACCACTTCATCCGGTCTAGTAGAGCCCCAGTGAATTGCATTCTGGGAGTTGACATATCCGTTTATATGGCCTTGTCGCTGTACCAGATTTCGTCCTCAAAGTAGGGATCCACATTCTGCTTGGACAGGAATGTGTTGGCGAAATCTATCCTCGATTGGAAATCACGGTCCAAAAGTTTGTGTTTCTTTGTGATTCGGTAGGCCCGGTTAGAAAGGTCTTGCTTTAGGATTCGCTGAAGGGTTCTGCTGATGTCTAAGGCAGGAGCTCGTTTCCGGGTGCCAATCTTAGGTGTGTCCATCACGTCACCAACAACCATCGTGATGTTTTCTACAGTCCTCGCAGTTCGTCTTCTGCCGACTCTTCGCCGATCGTGTGCAGAAAACGTAAACTTGATCTTGTGATGAATGTCAAAGCAGCTTTTCCGGCAAGGGGGTGGTCGGTTGAATTTCATCTGAAATTGTCGTTTAATCTGAGGGTAGAACTCCCCATTTTCTTTCTTCAGGTAGACGAACAATCGTTGTTCTGCAGTTAAGGGAGGATAGTGAACCATTTTCGATGATTCAATGGATGGTTCATTCCTTTTTATTGATTGTAAGGAACCTGTGACTAGCAGGGCTAACAAGCCCTGAAATGGTGACACCACCATAAATTCGTGTGATAGCGTTTTAGGTGCAGTCAGCTGTATAGGCCGGCCCATAAGCAGGCTGCAACCAATCAAGCGGTGCATGTGAGCCAAACAGGCCATTAACCAAGTGACGAGATCACTGACTGAGTGCTCGGATCACGTATCCGATGAGTTTTGAAATGGTCATAACTTAGCCATATTTTAACCAATGAACTTGACACTTTGGGAAAGGTTTTCAATTATCAAGCCAAATGTGTGCAAAAAATTTTGAGTTCTTAGCTTAAAGCGTTCTCATTTTATGAAGACAATAGTGAAAAAGAGGGAGTGTCACGCCACGCCCACTGTAATTGGGCGTGGCTTACGAAACTTTCAGGAAATCTAAGTTTGACCCATATCTATAATCTCTGAAATTTTGGTGCAATTTGGAGACGAATTACGTGAGTTATTAAGAGGTTGCGTGTGGGTAGTCACTTATGGGCCACCCTGTACATTAAATATCCGCAAGCAATACTCGCGCGCTGCACTGCGCGCTAGTTGTCATGGTAACTAACGGAAGGAAGGAAGGACTGACGACATATTTATACCCACTTAAATTACCTCGTTATGAGAGCTCCAGAGTATTATTTTCGTCAATTTGATACCGAAATTATTGGGCAAACTGACATAATCCGACATACCCTGACATATCTCGACACGTCGGGATATGTCGGGGTCTGTCGGGGTTTGTCGGGGTTTGTCAGGATATGTCGGGGTGCGTCGGGGTGCGTCGGGGTGCGTCGGGGTTTGTCGGGGTTTGTCGAGCCTGGAGGCTACATGATGCCTTTTAGGGTTGGTGTTAGGGTTGGTGTTAAGGGTCCTTGGGCACAACGTTCTGGTCCAGGATCGGACGACGTTAACCTTCATTATTATCAAAAGGGTTTAAATTAAAATCAGCACTGTGTAACAAAAAATAACTTACAGATTGAAGAAGCTATGGCCTATGTGGAAGGACCCTTTCTTGGACACTAATTTGAACAAAGGTGTGCCGGACAGCCCAGATAGGTCGTACAGGGTAAGCGAAGCCTTGGTAATTTGTGTAGTATTTCAGTGGGACTCACAAGTTGTACTCGAACTTTTGAGGAATTAGAATTAATCATGATTGATCTGCTGACGTTTTAAAGGTTACAACCTGCAGTCTAACAACAGTAAGGAGAGTGGGACACACAGACAAACTGATTCTGATACACTGACTGAGACGGACACTTTAACAGACACATCTGTTGAGTCAAATACTGATTTTAAACCAAGTGTACTATCAACGCTGGTATTGTTTATAGCTGATAAAGTTTGGACGATTTTGCGCTGGATTAGAGGATTTTTATCGTACTTGTGTGGAAAGGTGTGGTGCTTCCTATCTGGTGGTATAAAATATGTTGGGAATTTACTGAAGACTGGATGGGTTGCTGTATTGACAGCCACTAAATTTATGTGCTCTAAAGTTGGACAAATGTTTTGTGTGCTTGGTTCTGTTTTGTTACGATTAGTTGCCCGGGTTTTAAGTTCGATAATCTTCCCATTTGCTTGGGTGTGGAGCTGTGTCGGGACAAAGGACAGTGCTACTGATATTACAACCTCCAACTCTCGGCTGGACAATGAAGGTTCCAATACTATAACTGAAGTTTCTGAAGAAAATCAGACTGACCAATCACCGGATAGACAAACAGACAGACAAACAGCGACAATAATATCTCATGAAACAAGTGACTTTGTGTCAGTTGACAGTGATGTGAGTAAGATCAGTCACCTTATCTAGCTTATTAATTGTACTTATTGCTTCTACACGTACATAACACTGCGTGTTTCTCTTCACTGGCTATTTGAGTAGTTTCAATAAACTCAATAATATATTTATCAGGCTCATAATCTGTCACGTGCACCGATGTCATCCAGATTGGGCTCTTACGACACGATCAGGTACGTTTTTATCATTTTACCACCCTCCAATTCTAGTTCGGACTCTCAAGGCAAGTTCTACATGCTGAGATTTTAATTTACATCTCACAGCAGAGTTCCCTCATGACATCTAACCCTAACCTCAGCGTCCACCTCACTTAACCTCTCTTAACCTCACTTCTTCTCTCAGCTCCCCAGTAAAGAGCTCAGCTCCACCTGCATCACGTTTCTCTGAAGTTGGTTGGTGGTTTCTGTCAGCTCTTATATTCCCTGCTGTTCTCATTCTCCTACTAGGCATTCTTTGTGAGTTATTACATCACTTTTATATGTAGTTACTTGGTTACTTGGTAGTGTTCACATTTCCATTCTAGATAAAGGTCGATCGATCTAAAAAGTAGACTCCTTGGCCTCGTTTAGGAAAGCCAACCATTGCAATTACTCGGTTTGCCATCTTGGCCTCGGTCGATCATCCTGTCTTCAGTCGATAACTATCTACATGAAATATACATATCCCTTGACCTTTCTTCGACTTTATTCTGTGGGTGAATACTGAATAGTGTATTAATGCTTTTAATAAACGTAATAGATTTGTAGTGTCGTAATAAGTATGTATTGTTAACATTTTCCCAACAATAGAAACTAATACAATATGTTATGTAATAGAACTCAACAACTGCACACAATACTGATAATATGATAATGATAGAACATACTTAGTGGTTCCACATCCCCTGGTACTGGATGGGAAAGCCGGAGCAGAAACACAAACTATATCTCTACATCTCTTCTCTTTTCTAGAGGAGCAGAAGACAGTTTCCGCTAAAGTCTCTAAGGTTTGAAACTTTCTTAATTGCTGTTACTTAATTACTTAATTACTTAATTGCTGTTCAGTTAAGGTTAGACCCCTGATCTAATCAAGCTGGATCTCTATACTGGTGGAGAGGTAAACTATATGGACAGTGATTAATCAATCTGCTTCCCACACTGACCAATAAAAACACGGAATCACTGTCACGTTCACCCCACCCCCCCCCCCCCCCCCCCCCCCTCCAATACAGCATCCGGTCCTATACAATACAATAAATTATAATGGTAATGCCAAGAAGACACTTAGTGTACTTATAGCATCTCGAGATCATCCGATATAATTTATAAATGTACTCGACACTGTACTCCATACTGTACGATCCGTGGTATTTGTAACGTTGCAAGGCATGTAACCAACGTGAGGTGTTGATTCAGCAGCATGAAGATGTTCAGGGTCTCAGGAATGACACGCAGTAATATATTTATCTAGCATACATTACGTAATGTAGCCGTACAACATAATTACATTTAATGTTATTATTACCGAGAATGATATTAATACATTTGCCGTGTTGGAATTGTACAGTGTTTGATTACGAGTTATACATGTGTAGTGTGTACAAGTGAAACGCAAAGACTGGCGTTATTATGGTTCACGGAAAATATCGATCATCAGCGTTTAAACTTGCCAATCTATGCGTGTGATAGATTTCGTAATGCTTCTTTATTAAAATAACTAAAATTAAAGACAAAAACAAAACAAAGTTAAAATCTGCATACTATCATCATCGATGTTATGACATCAGTATTGAATATTGATTGACACACTGATTATCTATTCACTGTGAAGCTTTAACTTCGCTTATATCACCGTTTAATTTGTTTCAAATGTTTACAATCATTATTATTTCAGCTGGAAGCAGGGCTGTTGTCTCTGGACCTGAGAACTGTCAAGTCAACCACTGAACTAAAGAGTGCCATCAAGGTTTGTTTAGATTGTTATACCATAAACTGATACAAGTTCACAAGTTGTAAGTAGTAAGTTGGAGGTGTGGTCAGATGTTAAACACCTGATAATATACAGTACAGTGTAGTGAGATCACTGGAAATTAGTAACTCTTCTGTTTGATGTAAAAGAGTGTTCTGATTACTGCAAGTTATAGAACTGTGTCATCTCACACACCGACTTGTAACAATGTGTTGTAACACCCTCAATTCTGACGACATTTCTTATTAAGTCCAACAAAATCAGGTTTATAAATAGTAACTTAGCTAAAATATGTAACACTAAACACGACCAGGACCTAGAGAAAGAAAAGGAGAGACTAGAATCAGAGTTAGTAGCTATAGCGACCCTGGATAGACAGCAGTCATCCCAGCTAGCACAGCTTCACTCCCAACACTCTACACACGGGACAACTATTGAGGTAACTAGATGGGTTTAGTTACAACTGTTAGTGCTATTAGTGCTATTAGAAGTTCACAACCGAGAGTCTGAGACCCTCTCCTATCTATGTAACAGTGAACTTATAGCTTATAAAATGAGGAATTTCACTCTCCTAGAGGTCCTGCGGCAAACTTTCTAACTTAAACATATTACTGTTGTATAATTGTCACAGCAACACCTAACAACGTAACGACCACGTAACCCAGGGCCTGTCAAGTTCCCTAAACGACGTGAAGCTAAACTACGACAACCTGAGCTCCCAGATCACCCTTCTACGAGCCAGCATCACAACACTCACCACCCTCCAAACCACACTGTCCGCTACACAGGCCACTGAGTCAGGGAGATTGTCTGAGTTGGGTAGCTCTCACCAGAGTCTGGTGGAGAGGAGCGGAGGGCTGGAGAAGAGGGTGGAAGAGTTGGGAGCTGGGCAGGGGGAGATAAGGGGACTTCTAGAACCACTTACCAGGTGTGTGATCTTAGTTACCTCGTTCAGATTCTTGTTGTCTGTATAATGATGCATCATGACTGTTATAAGGTTGTGTAGTTATACTGTGAGCTGTCTTTTAGTGTTCTTATTGGTATTTTGCATGCGGAGGGAAAGAATGATAATAGTTTCGTTACTTTGGTTATAGCTGTGAGAGCAATTTTTTATGATTTCGTTATCATATGCATCCGACCACCACAATAATTGTCTTGAACAATTTTTGTATTTCTATAATTATCAGAGTCAAGTGTGATGTGCAAGCAAACCATGAAAAACCCGTCGCATAAACAAAAAACAGATACTTATAATGATGTAATACTTATCTGAAATTGATTTTAAAATGCTCATATTCTGTCTCCATTATAATCAATGATGTACAGGCCTTTGTTCAATAAGGATGGTATCGCCATAATTATAATCAGCGATAATATTCGCCGAACCGAAACGTTTGTATTTTGAATACCAGTTTATAAGATAACTAGAGCAATTAAATTTTACTGAAATAACGGACCGTAAATACAGACAGTAACGGACAAATTAGTATCACATAATGAAATGTTCAAAGATAAGTTATAATATACATGATTGATAATATTTTAACCTCTCCATGTCCCTTTGAATCTGTATTGGATTTATTTAGTACAGGGGTATAAACTATAAACTGTAGTCTTAATCCCAATGTTTTGCAGTAAGCAAGATAAGCTATCAGCACAATACAAAGAGCTAACAGCGACTCAGACGACCTCTGCTGGCAGGGAGTCGGCTGATATTGCGAAGTTAAGAGCTGAGCTGTTACCCCTTATTACTGGTAACTACACTTGTGTTCTTATTTTAAACTGACTCATCTGCCCTTATTAGGATTGTAGATTAAAAGATAACACGTTATCTTGATTCAACTGACACTTGTTTTAAGTTTATCATACGGACCTGATAACTAATAGCCATGTATATTGTATAATATATATAATATGTTCACATTTCTGTGTCCTCAATTTTAATGCAGTTCATTTACACTTATAATGTCACATTCCACATCTGTTTTAACTTTTACTCTTATTAACTAGTCCCCTCGACATCTTTCTGTCAACCCGATATAATCAGCAATTAAGGAGTCATGTTGGAAGAATATACTATAAATAAAACTTGGTTTTTCATAAAAACTGGAAATAACCCCGTAATGTTGCAGATGTAAAGGTGGACGATGCCACTCAAGCGAAGATAGAAGAGCAAGGAGTAGCAATGCAGGAGTACCAAGAGAAACTGGTTAACTTGGAAACTAAGATATCCAGTATACCTACCCAACAACAACAACAACAGGTAGGTGTTATCATAACAAGTTACAATGTATTGTCTTTAACCAGTGGTTATATCTTTTAGTTAATTCTCGATAACATTGTTGATCAGCGATCATCTCTTGCAACCAAAATCATAATGTGAATACTGTGACAAGCATCCATATTGCCTCAAAAGTTTAAAATTCAAACAGTTTCCTTCTCAGACCATACCACCTGACCTAGTATCACGACTAGACACTCTGACTACAGAACTAGAAGCAGTACGCTCCACTTCTCCTTCTACTCAACAGGTAACTATGGAACGTAACTATGGTAACTATGGAATGTAGACTATTTGGTGGACATGTAAATAGTATGTAGATTTTAACTTAGTTTTGTGTTTGGCGTTAGCTTTAATTCTTTTTTATAAAGAAGCATTACGAAATCTATCACACGCACAGATTGGCAAGTTTACACGCTGATGATCAATATTTTCCGTGACCCATAATAACGCCAGTATTTACGTTTCACTTGTACACTTAACACACAGTGGACAATCATTAAAAAGTCACTCAGCACACGATTCTTATACACCATGATCACTTAACACTTAATAAAAACTTGAATCCGACAGCTATACTACACAGTACACACGATAACATTGCTAATCATAAATCAATAAACAAAAGTTAAAACATTAAAATATAACACCCTCGCCAGTACACTGTTCTAGAGACCCGACTAGATAATATCCGGGGTGAGCTGGAGAGATACGTATCTAGTAGTGGGGTGAGGATACAGGAGGTGTGGTCTGCGTTAGAGGAAACCAGACACAAGGTTACGAGAGTTTTATTCATTAATAATTCAGTTAATAAGATTCTTTGATGGGTCTTACTTTGTTAGGTTTTCATAAAACTTGGTTGGTAATTATACTAACAAAACTAGAACTTTCTGTTTATATATGTAACAATTCAGGCTACTGAAGATAGGAAAGTGTCTCAGTTGAAGTTGCAGAGTATTGAGAGCAAGCTAGCTGTTCTCACTGCCCTTCAAGACAGGTTAGTTACTCACAATTCTCTAGAGAACCGCTATATCTAGATACTTGTTCTATATCTAGATACTTGTTCTATATCTAGATACTTGTTCTATATCTAGATACTTGTTCTATATCTAGATACTTGTTCTATATCTAGATACTTGTTCTATATCTAAGACAGGTTAGTTACTCACAATTCTCTAGAGAACCGCTATATCTAGATACTTGTTCTATATCTATATACTTGTTCTATATCTAGATACTTGTTCTATATCTAGATACTTGTTCTATATCTAGATACTTGTTCTATATCTAGATACTTGTTCTATATCTAGATACTTGTTCTATATCTAGATACTTGTTCTATATCTAGATACTTGTTCTATATCTAGATACTTGTTCTATATCTAGATACTTGTTCTATATCTAGATACTTGTTCTATATCTAGATACTTGTTCTATATCTAGATACTTGTTCTATATCTAGATACTTGTTCTATATCTAGATACTTGTTCTATATCTAGATACTTGTTCTATATCTAGATACTTGTTCTATATCTAGATACTTGTTCTATATCTATATACTTGTTCTATATCTAGATACTTGTTCTATATCTAGATACTTGTTCTATATCTAGATACTTGTTCTATATCTAGATACTTGTTCTATATCTAGATACTTGTTCTATATCTAGATACTTGTTCTATATCTAGATACTTGTTCTATATCTAGATACTTGTTCTATATCTAGATACTTGTTCTATATCTATATACTTGTTCTATATATAGATACGTTTTATTTTAAAATCTGGTGTTGTCAACTTCAATTTGCCCTGCTTTTGCCGACCATAGAACCACAACCTCACAGTGTTTTTAATTTTGTGAATTTTCCAGGTTAGAGAAACTGGAGGTGAATCAAGTTAGTGGTGTAGCAGAAGATAAACGTCTGCAAATTGAGATAGCAAAACTAGTGGCAGATTTGAGGGACATGGATGTGAAATACAGTGAGAAAGTGCGAGCATTGAACCTCTCTCTGGACGCTTTGAAGAGGTATTGGTTATGACGTCACACAGCTCAATCACACATTAATTAACAGTTGGGAATATTGTATACAACTCCTCAGTCTGGCAAACTAACAGAATCTAAGGTGTGCTTAAAATTGAAACTATATACACTAAAACCATTGCCTGTTTTAATTAGGGTTTCAATTTGTTTTCTATTCTCTAATATTTGTACTATCTTTCAGTGATAAGAATAGCGAAGCTTCTAGAACAAGTGAATATATCAGACTAAACACAGAGGAACTCAAAACGTGTGTAACAATTATTTTGATACTTTCGCTTTTGTTTCGAATACATTTATTACACTGCACATAAACAGCAAAGCTCTCTGTTACTCCCCTCTCCTTAAATTATTCAATTCAAACAATGCTCTTAATTTCAGGATGAAGAACCAAATTGCAAGTGACGTGACGTCACTACAACAGAAACTAGCTGATCTAGAAAGTTCTGCTGATAACAAGATAAGGCATGTTGTGTTGGAAGTGTTATCTACTGTTACACACAACTCTCCTGATACTCGCTTCTTTGGGGACTGGCTCAAAGCTAACTTCCTTACCAGGGAACAATTTGATGTGAGCATATGATTTATATAGGAAGGGTGGCGGGGGTGAGGGTGAGGGTGAGGGTGAGGGTGAGGGTGAGGGTGAGTGGGGGAGTGAGGGTGAGGGTGAGTGGGGGAGTGAGGGTGAGGGTGAGTGGGGGAGTGAGGGTGAGGGTGAGTGGGGGAGTGAGGGTGAGGGTGAGGGTGGGGGGGGGGGAGTGAGGGTGAGGGTGAGGGTGAGGGTGAGTGGGGGAGTGAGGGTGAGGGTGAGGGTGAGGGTGAGGGTGAGGGTGAGGGTGAGGGTGAGGGTGAGGGTGAGGGTGAGTGGGGGAGTGAGGGTAGAGGGACATAGTGCAAGTTCTGGTGGATCCGAGTTTCGCCTTCGGTTCTTCTGTAAAGTTTTAATGTTTTTGCATGCAATATATATTTCAAGATATCACCATATTCCAGAGGGAAGTTAGAAACGAGAGAGTGGTCCTGCCCTCACAAGATCAGCTGATACAAATCGTCATTTCGGAACTTCATTCCAAACATTCCATTGATCTCCACCCTGCTAGTGGAATAACTGCCGCCGTAAGTTAACTGTCGCCGACTGCATGTTTGTATGTTTACCGACAAGCAGAATTCTTAACCAGTTTTAAGTCTTTCATAATCATGTGCTTCCATATTTCGCTCTATGGCATTGGCGGTCTTCATGGTAGGAATTTTATTTCATTTTCGTTGTTCAATATGCCACAGCATTTCTGACCGTAACAATTATTTGCCACAATTATTCATAGAAAAAGCATTGACAGCAATAAGTACCCTTTATCATGTTAGTTGCCCTTCAAAACATGCAAATGTAGCTGCTCAGTCCTAAACTTTCAGTCGGCGAAAATTCATCTTTCCTCAACTTACAAATTAATATTCTGTCATATAGCAGTCGCATTAGTGAACAATCTGTATGTTATACACCGTAGCAGCAGGGCCTTTCGTTACGCCACTGGTAGACACTCGCTACAAGTCTCCAATAAGAGGCTGAGGAAAGTCATAATGGCCGCCAATTTCCTGTCACACAAGTTGTAAAATATGGAACACGCTTAACACAAATTAGGCAGCCCACCGCGCTCGCCGCCATATTTGATCGCGCGCGCCCGCGCACGACAGATCATTTGCGTCCTGGCGTCGGAACAAAGGGCGGGGTCGGATGTTTGTGCGACTTTATTCGGATTCATCGCATCGTATTCAAGCCCCGTGTGCTCTGATTACACCGAACTACAATGTGACATGACTTACACAACATTAAAGACACTTTTTATTGTAAATCAAAAGTTATGAAATTCAAACTCTCAAGCCTCACATTATTCTAGAATAAGTTACGTACTTATCGTTTATCTAACCCAGAAAATCATTCAGTGTGCAGAATGAATTTGTAATGTTTCTTTAGTTCTTCCAAAACAAGACCAATCTCCCTGTAATCATCGATTGTTTTACCAACTTCGGGGTATAAGATCACCGAGCAACTTACTCTGGCTCTAGAAATTGACACGTAAAGTCTTACCCAGTCCGCTATTGGGGCATTTTCCGATAGTTTTAAAACTATTATTACTGCCGGCCATTCAGAGGAAAAACATGACGATGGTCCCGCTAAACCTTTCTTGTTGCCATCGCTGTCTTTTCGTTTATTAACTGCCTCCTCTAGATATAACTGTCCCTCAAGACTAACAAATCCTATTAGTATACCTATGTGGAATATTTTCAAAACATCCTCTTGGCGTAGTCTGTCTAGCTCGTCACCGATTATGGATTTTACACGTGTATGCTGCATATCAGTATTGTCCGCATCACCACAGCAAACATGAATGACAGTTTGCGGCCCATGTAGTGACCTGGAGTTTGTTCCAGTCCTCTAATGTAGTAAGCAAAATCGGATCTTTCGGACCCCAGTTTAACCAAAAGATGATTCCTTATTATAGTTAAAGTTTTCGATAAATTGCTTGTATTCCGCAAGTTCATCGACAGATTAGCATGTTGGTTAGGGGATGAAAAGTTGAGTAGATGAACGATCCGCACATTAGAAACGTATGTGACACATTGCACGATATCACATCCTACACAAACATAACGATCGGAAAATGACATCAGGAGCAGTAACCTTAGAAACTCGTGGTAATCCTCATTGCTGCTATCCGTTCCTAGGAAACATCGACCACTGAGGATCTTAAATTGTTTCTCCCACCAAACTTTGAAGTCTTCAATGTCTTCATCAAATATTATTGTGGATATGTTATCTTCGTGCGACTGAAACTCATGGCGAAACTTTTTGGCAAAATTAGGGTATGAACTGAACTGAAGAGTTTTCATACCCACCTCAATGCTGTCAATTAGCTTCTTTATCTTATTTCTCTGTTGTAGAGATTTGCTGCTCGCAGCTGTCGGTCTTTATCACATCCAGGATCTTGCGTTCCTTCGTTAATCGTACAAAGATGAAAATCCGGCTCACATTCAACGATATTGCCTACATGAGTCATGTTTTTCACTTCTATAATAACAAAATAGCCATCACAGATGATCAAGAAATCGCACTCACCCTCCTTATTTCCAGCGTTCTTTTTACTACATTTTGAGCATCCTTTTCTGATGTGTCCCTTATCGCACGGCGGTATTGGTGGTGCGTGTACTCGAAATTGTGCAGAACAATAAATCGTTGTTGTACCCTCTCCAGTGCTCTGTACAATTTAACCTCAGCCTCGTAGTTTAATTGTTGCAAGATATCGTTTCTGAAGCTGCTTCCCGCTTCATCAACTTGGGGGGAAATGTCAATATAGGTTTGTTCCGGTGCTCCTGGAAACATGACAGGGGTTTTGTTCTCAGCAGAGCAGTAGGTGCTGAAGATGTCTCTCCCGTTCTCCAGATATCTTTCCATCCCCTCGCTGCCTGGTTGCTAATTGTAAAATTTACACACTTTGACACTTAACCAAGTCTGTATGTATGATGTATACAACACTTCATTTTACAATAACGAATGATCAACACGAAAATACGGATGTTTTAAATTTCAAGAAATCGTAGATCTTCTAAAGCCAGCAGTCGCAAAGTAAATTATACAACTATACACATTATGACATTATGCAAAGTACGGAAGAGAGAGAGAGAGTGTGTGTGTGTGTGTGTGTGTGTGTGTGTGTGTGTGTGTGTGTGTGTGTGTGTGTGTGTGTGTGTGTGTGTGTATATATAAAAACGCTTTAGATTGTATTATACCCCATATTATTTATCGGCCATGTGTGATGTGGGTAAGTATCAAATTACAACATCCAGAACATTGAATAATCATTTATGCAATGTTAGCTGCAGATGAGCCATGAGGTCATTTCGCGCGTTACACATATGCTGACATTTATATTCAAATTTTGTAAATGTAATAAACTCAACTCAACAATGCTGTAAGGGGTCGTTCACATATTACGTAATCATCTTTTGGAATATTTGTACCCCCCCCCCCCACCTGACCCTCCGTAATCATTTTTACGCATAGCTGTTGTGTCAAATTACACTAGCGTAATCATTCGGAAACCCCCTCCCCCCTCCGGCCTCCCCCCGTCAGCTGATTTTCAAGAAACGAAAAATAAGTTGTGAGCATCTGAAGATCTCATAGCTCTCAATTTCGCGATAATCTAACCAATTTTGTCAGAGATTTTTAATCATCGTGAATATTATAAGAAAGATTCGCCACCCATGTAGTTGTTCTATCCCATAACATATCAAAACAGCCACGAGTTAATAAACTTATCTGCAACATCTTATCTTATCAGGATATTCAGATAATAGTAAAAGAAGCTTTGCAAACATTCGACGAGGACAAAACAGGTCGGGCTGACTTTGCTCTTGAAGCTTTGGGAGGAAACGTTATCAGTATTGGCTGCACAGGTACCATCTAAGATATTGACATTAATGAGGACCCCATTATAGTGTTGCTATATAATTAGGTTATTTGGCAGAGGATCAGCCACAAGATTGCCTGTTATGTAATACTATAAGCTTACTAGGGGCACTCAGAATTAAATTGCGGTCTGTTTGGACTGATTAGACTCTCCGCCTATCTAATGCTAATCATTACAGAGACTTATTACGAAGATGCACCGTACGCTAGTTTTATGAGTATCCCCCTTTACCGTCAACCAAACCCCCCTAATGTGGCACTTCAGCCGGACATCACCCCGGGCAAGTGCTGGGCCTTCAAGGGAAGCAAGGGATACATGATGATAAAGGTATTGACCGATCATTAAATTAATATATAATATTAAAAACTTAATAATGCTTCCATTTACTTTGACATGAATTTTAATTTTTAAGAATTTTATTGTTGGGCTACTATAAATATTTTATTCATATTTTTCTAAAGCGATTAAGATATTCCAATCTTTCAAATCCCCTTCCACCCTTAGCTGGCACATGCAGTGATTATAGACGGATTCTCTATGGAACATCTGTCTAAGAAACTTTCGCTGAGTAATGACATCAGTTCGGCCCCCAACAAGTTCTCAATGCGGGGTTTCAGCCACCCCGAGGACTCGAGCTCCCACTTCTACGGAGAGTATAAGTTCAGTGATACTGGCCCTTCTCTACAGCGCTTCACTGTGACGGTAAGTCTGTGCCTGGCTAAATGTCACAATTTATTTGTCGAAATCTAAGTATTCAAATAGAAATTGTCGGATGGTAATATTTCTGCTCTTATTCAAATTAATTCTGAAATTATTATCATTCTTCCGTGGAGAATTTAATGATAAATTTCCCTTGATATTTCAAATGCATGCATGAATTTTGGTCAGCAGAAATTGTAATTCGTTGATACTTCTCCCCGGGTTAGTTTAAGGGCACAGTTGGGAAAATGTGCCCTGCTAAAATTAATTATAGTTTGGTAAGTTTTCACTTATCCAAACCCGATTACTTTAAGTATCTTGTAGATTTTACAGATTTAAATGATAAGGTAAAATATATCCTTGCGTTTGAGTAACTTCAAAAAGTCTCATATTCTTCATTTCTTCTTGAAGAACACTTAATTTGCAATTTTTGGCTGACGTTTGTTCAAATGATAAGCTTTTGTCCCTAACAGCTTTTTACTTTCAGCATCCCAGCAAGGTTGCATATGAAATAGTTGAACTGGATATTGAGAGTAACCATGGAAACCTCGAGTACACTTGTCTTTATAGAATACGCGTTCATGGCAAAGTGAGTCCATTTGTATTTGTATAATCATTTTGGCGGGGGGACTGGTCGTGATCGCCGATATGGCTTATTTGTAACGCATTTAGAAATAAGTATTTTCTAGTGTTTCAACATTGGCCATAAACCTTTCCAAGAAATGTATTTTGGATTTAATATAGTCTGATAAAGTTTTATTATTGGAGTGTTTAAAGGGTTTTTCTCAGGTCCCCAAACTGTCGTGAGTAGCTAGTAATAGCCCTGATGTCAGATCTTAATATCATTTCCAAATCATCAGCCCCAAACTGCTGAACTGAAAACACGCTCATACACCTGATATATATTCATTATGACATAATATCTTGTGGACTCGCATTGGTGGACATATCAGCACAAAGAAGTTTCGTACCAAGTTTGTAATTTGTATCGTATACATTTACATAGCATGCTACGATAATCTCTATATTTTATCTCTTTATTATGTGTTTGTAAGACTTGTAACATTATACTGCTTATATTAGATAGTCCATTTCCGTTCCGTTCTTCTACTTGCAATTCGAGTAGGCTTTTCGTATTAACACCTGTGTTTTAAAGCATATATTGAAACGTTACTCAGCAACTACTGATCCTTACTTTTCTCGGGCACATGCCAAAATTCAGGGACGCCCAGTCAAGTTAAATTTGATTGACTTTCTGAAGCGAAGGCGATTTATTTAATCAAATTTATTTAACAAAGTCTTGATATGAGACTGTAACGTTGTAGGTTTGACCTTTGACTAAGGCAGGTATGACCGAGATTTTATTTATAGGATTACGATTTATTTGAACTTGAAGATTTGATTTATATTTACAATTTACAAGATTTATATTTGTTATTTGTAATTAAATTGTTAACGTTTTGGTGAGACACAGAGTTTGTTACTGTGTATGTTTTGGATAGATTTGGTCGATTTTTGATCAGCAATATTATTGGAGAAATAAAATAAAAATGTGTATTGTATATATAACTTCTGATTTATTTACATTTATCTTAGAGATAGCTTTTTATTTTGTAGCCCTATTATTCTCGATTGCGTGCGTGGGTGTATTGTAGGGAAATATTTGCTTAATTGTGCAGACCCATGTTTTGAAATACAGGAGCAAAGTAATTACACTGGACAGTGGATAATTAGAGACATGTGCAGTAGATGGTATTACATATTATGTATTATGGTATTTGACCAAAACCCATAATTGGGTAGAGTTAACCGCTGCCAGTGTCTCTCTTTCCCAAACAATGATATTAATTTGAATGACCGTTTGCAAATGCAAAATCAGTGATGCACGCCGCCGCCGGACGCCGCCGCGCCGGCACATTTTCACACGCCGCCACGCCGATACCTCTCAAGTCGGCGTGGCGTGAAAGGAAATATAAAGAGTATGGAGCCAGTCAGGGTTGATCTTGAACTCTAGGAGATCCAAATTGTCCAACATTGTCAAGAATTTGATTTTTCTTAAATATAATTGTAAAAATCACCAAATATAATTGTAAACACCACACTTATTACATCATTATTTCATGCACGCACGTACGCCACAATTTTTGTGGGCCTGGAAATTCAAACCTAAATTTTGACAAAATTATGTTCCACGCCGCCGAACGCCGCCACGCCGGGCCATTTTGGGCACGCCGCCGCCGGTTGGCGAAAAATGAACCGGCGTGCATCACTGTGCAAAATAATACCGAGAATGAAATCGGTCGCTCGCTTTTCCCATTCATTCGCGGCTTACGAATTGTAATAAGTTTTAAATCAATCTTTGCCAGGGTTAGAAAAATGCTCATAAGGGGTCGTTCACATATTACGCAATCATTTTTTTGGAACATTTTTACCCCCCCCCCCCCCCCCCCCTCCGTAATTTCAGTTTTACGCATAGCTATTGTGTCAAAATTACACTAACTTAATCATTTGGAAACCGCCAGCATATGTGTAGGAACTAAAACTTATAGTGCTAGCCAATAGACAACAGGAACTTCACAAAGCAATACTCCCGAGTCATTAAAATAGCAAATTCCTACCTGTATCATCGTGCTGATCGCAGTTCTAATCATGAAACAAAACTAAAAATGTTAACAAAAACGAACTGCGAACACAAAAATCCAAGTCTTCGTTACAGTAGGACGAAAAAGTGATACTGTTGCCGTAAAAAATGTGTGATATGGTACGACTGAACGTATAATATTAATATGGTACTCCTGGCAAACGGGCACAATAAAGACAAACCCGGCACACAAGATAAGGAACACGTTGCAAAACGACATTAACACAAGGACGACTGCTATCCCATGAGGCACAAATTAGATTAGTGTGAAGGTGACAAATATCTATCACCCAATGAGGAGAGGTCGTGGACCTTTCACTAGCCAATACACAATAGGATTGCAGTATTCTGCAAACCTGTCCTCATTAGATTACCATATAACGCCAAGTGTATCAGGTTACACTTGGAACGCAAAGGTTACCTGTTACTCATGTTGCTTAATTCTATCATCTATGATGCATGGAATACCACACTATTTTTTTATATAGTTGGAAGTTACTGGGCAGCGCTCAGCCTGTCATTCTGCCGAATCTCTATTAATATTATGAACATAATAGCCTGGGGTCCCCAGGCCCAGGTAACTATTGAGGGATCATTCGCACCCGCACTTAATTTTGCCTCTAATTATCATCCCTCAATGAAAATTCGTTATACTGCATGTTGATGGATCAGTATGTTGAGATAACCCCAAATTATGGCTTTCAGCTTTTTAACGGGTGATACTCGTAAATATCTGTTCCATATATTGGGACCGTCGACGAGTCCAACTCGGCGCGCGTCCTGGTAGGTTGTAAACCTACAACCAGCTTTGAACTGCTGAGTTGCAATTTGTTTAATTGCAAAACCATGACGTCCATATAATTATAAAACTGTGTTTCAGGACACATTATAGCGAAGGACTGCCCGCGGTAAAACCTCAATGATTCCAGGGTGAATGTTACAAGTGTGGTGAGCGTGGCCACATCTGCATATATGATATAGGGCGATAAAAACGGATAATTAGTTAATTATAATATGAATATATTTTACCTGTATTCCTCAGGAAATGAATCCCAATTAACACCATTCAGTTTTGAGTCTCATCACAGCAAATATTAATATGTGCTTGCATCATGCATGGCAAGTTATACTGAACAAAACACAGACAGTCGCAGGAAACGCTTGACCATTGTTATTGATCTGGCCCGGCGCGCGCTACTTCGAGAAGAAAGCGGCGCGCGCTACTTCGAAGAAATTTAGACGAGTAACATCCGTCAAAGGAAACGCGACCTTCACACTTGTAGGTTTACAACCTACCAGGACGCGCGCCGAGTTGGACTCGTCGAGTACAGTATATTTACGATATTTACGAGTATCACCCGTTAACTTTCACACTCACACAGGAGACCTGGAAATGGGGTACTTAATATTTTTACAAGTCATGCCATGGGGGCTGGCCGTTGCTCTGCGAAGCAGGACAGAGCAACGATCTTGTAAGAATGCTAGTTTGCAAGAATGCTAGTTCATAGTTTGCGCGGCGCGTCGAAGCGGCGAAGTCCTCCAATCAATTAGCTAATTAGCAAAATTTAAATTTTTTTATTGGCTCAAAAAGTCAAAATGATCAGAACAGTATGGAAGCGCATGTGTGTCAAAAAAATAATGATACACATGCGCTTCCTAAGTAGCGTATGTGTGTCAAAAAAATGTTTGATACACATGCGCTAGCAGGTTTATCATGTAAATCATTATGTGGCCCATGTGTGTCATTTTTGTAAAATTGCTGTAATTAAATCTCTATTCAATATTCTAATCGCTATCTTGATCTATTTATATATGTATTTTATCCTTATCTCTATTTTATCTTTAAACTCCTCTCCGCCGATCGCCTCCCGTGTGAAACGAGCGCGCCTGCACGCTGCAGTGGCGCGAAAGCACATGGTTAGGTTAAAGCGCGTGTACTGTTGCTGCACAGGCTATAATGTTAACTGACGATGTCAATTCATCGCAGCTCGGCAAGGCACAGTAGCACATTTCACCGAATTAGCGTTGCAAGAAGAATAATCAATAATTGAATGCGCGGCGCGGCACAGTAACGGATCGTGCTACAAGCTATAATATTTATAAACATACTGTACTCATTGGAGAATGGAGCTATGGAGGAATGAAGCTGCCTGCTGCGCGTAGCATGACAGCTACCAAGAATTGCATATTGAAGCGTGTACGCCGACGCATGACAGGCAAGTTCCTGTGTCCTGATTTCGTGCGCGAAGATCGAAATGCAATTATTCGTGTATCAAGCCAACTGCCAAGTGCCAACAATGTGTTTATTGTTAGAAATGATAATGGACTAACCCGTTTCGGGATATTTCGTAGCAACTAGCAAGCTTGCCGCGCATCGATCTAATAATGCTTCTCGTTGTAAGGCCACCTTGTTTGTCGTTAGATATAGGCAAAATGCACCCAGCACCCCTGTGCCCTGCGGACCTCGCTGAGCTGCTATGCAAAGCGAAAAAGCAAAGACTCAATGGATGGTTATATTAGTGGTTACCCATACCGTAATGGGTGCTACATGCCTAGCATGAAATATTTACTTACTTACTTGCACTTAATTTTTGTATTATATGTTCATAATCATATAAATTCGGCGGAATGACAGGCTTGAGGCTGAGCGCGGACCATACCAGTAAACTTCGCATCGAAAAATCCAACCGAGTAACATCCGTCAACTAATAGTTATATGTAATAATTGAAAACAAACTTTGCTTGTTTACCTGAAATTAGAATTTTATACAATTAATGTAAGATTGAAGTCGTGTTTTTACCAATTTCCCTATACCATCCGGTAAATTAATTACCCTCAGCCCTTCGTTGTGCCTGTGGGCTGCGAGGTCGTATCGTGGCTTTCGCCACGGTATAGCGGGGGCGAAATGAATTACAAATGAGGATCGCGACGCGTGACTTGTAAGTTTATAACCTACCAGGACGCGCGCCGAGTTGGACTCGTCGACGGTCCTGATTAATATTTGAAGCAAATATTTTACGACTACAAGTATCAGTGATACTATCACCCGTTAAAGAAAGAATTGGAAATTGAACTCGCCGGTACGTCGACGGATGATGCTTGTCTAAATTTTTTCGAAGTAACACGAAAAACTTTCTTTTCGAAGCGAAATGTTTGTGTTACTGGGCGGCGCTCAGCCTGTGCCTTTTCAATGTCATTCCGCAACCCACAACCGTTTATCATTTACGAACGAATAAAAAACAACGTCAATATTTTACATGTCACAGTTAGCTGGCAGTACGGCTGACGGCCCAGTTAATAAATTGTGCATCGCGCCGATCAAGAAAAAAACATTATTTGATGCGCTGATCAGTCTTCTAAGTGCTAAGACTAATAATATAAAACATCGTTTCTTTTGTCCGTAATTGCCTGTACTGCGTGAAAATTACAAAATAATTACAGCACATTTACAAAATAAGAATAATAAAAAAGGAAACGTGTTTTCTCGTTTATAATTCATAATTATTTTTAGAATAACGCTTTATTGTTAATGCAATCATAGTGCCAGTGGTCAGCTAGTGACATGGCTATGACGCCTTTTTCTTACATGGTTATGACATGGTTATGACATGGTTATGACATGGTTATGACATGGTTATGACATGGTTATGACATGGTTATTGGCTATGACATGGTTACAACCAAAACTGAAAACTCCTTCAGACCAATTTTGAACCATTATGAGCACTTTCAGGATACAATTCATTTCCGTTTCTAACAATAAACACATTGTTGGCACTTGGCAGTTGGCTTGATACACGAATAATTGCATTTCGATCTTCGCGCACGAAACCAGGACACAGGAGCTTGCCTGTCATGCGTCGGCGTACACGCTTCAATATGCAATTCTTGGTAGCTGTCATGCTACGCGCAGCAGGCAGCTTCATTCCTCCATAGCTCCATTCTCCAATGAG